AAATTTGATTATGAATGGTTTTAGATGATATCAAGGAATTATTGTTATTCTTGTTAGGGAATAATGGCATTTGGATTATATTTTTTAAATGCAGTTTTCAGAGATGCATATAAAACTAGACCGGCTTGCAATGAGAGGATGTCTAGGATTTACTTAAAATACTTCAACAAAGAAAATATAAATTTGAAACAGGAATAGATGAAATAAATGAGGTAAAAATTAATAACTACCAAGATTAGAAAATTCAGAGTATAGGAATAAACTTTCTTCCTTTCTACTTTAAGGTACATGAATATGAGAGTCCAGTTAATGTGGCAGCCACACAAGATTCCTTTTGGACCACACATACAGGCTCAGCACACACAAACTGAGTTAATTACTGATATCACAAAGGAATGACATAAGAGGCCTTTGAATTTGGAAATAGAGATATATTTATCCTTTGAAAGCCCTTGGCACACTAGAGGAAACAGAAATCAAAGGCAGAACATATGGAAAACTAATTTCTTAATTATTTGAAAGACATTATTTTTCTGAGATCTACAAGGAAGGCTACATCACTACAGAATAGACATGAAACAGTGGTGTGAAGAAAAGCACAGACAGACCTGGTATTCTTTTGATTTCCTTTCATTTGAACTTTGGGAGCATGAGCAAATCACTTCCAATTTTTGCACATTCATTTTTAAATCTTAAAATGTGGATGACGGACATATTTGCTATTTCTTTGGTCTCGTGAGATAATAACCAATGGACTGTGGGCTACATATAAAAGCTGGTTATGAATGATACTAATAAATATTACCTTCATATTACCAATTATTTGACTGATTTTTTTCATAGCAATTTTATGGAGATTGATACTAGAGGAAAAAAATATAAGGAGAATATTCAGGGGAAAACAGAGAGAGAAATTCCAGATCCTTAGAGGAATATTCACAAATAGCATTTGTCACTCCTGCTTTTCTTGTATAATGGTTAGAGTTTTAATTACCAACACTGGTATACATTTAATACTTATACTACTTTTACAGTCCTTGCATCTTTGGAAATTGTACATTCCTACCACTGAATGCTCAAGAAATCCAGATTTCAGGTCCTATTTGCCACCTAGCATTGCTAAGACTCAATGTGCACATTGGTATATGAAAGGAATTAGACCAGATCTCAAAAATCACTCCAAACTTATTCCATGACATAGTGTTTTGTTTTGTTTTTGGTACCAGGGATTGAACTCTGCTCCTTGCACTTGCGCAGCAGGCAGTGAAACCACCGAGCTAAATCCCTGGCCCAAATGACATAGTTTTTAATAGAGTCTAACATGTTCTCCCAGCTTAAACCACTGGTAGTTCAGAGTACCCCAGCAATGAGACATAAGAATTATGGCCCTGTTGTGAACATGTTAATCTTTAAGTTGTGCCAAGACTTTATTCTCAAATAGTTATATTATATAGTCCTGGGAAGCAATTAATCAGAACTCCTATACAAGCTGTGTCCAAGCATAAAAATTAACTAGGGGTTGACAAATCTGAGACAAGAACTGACTCGGCAGTGATGGTTAAGATCTCTTATTCTTTCCTTTTCTTCAAGTAATAAATATTCGAGTTTGTATCGGTCATTTTCTCATTGCTGGGACAAAATATTTCACACTTGCAACTTAAAAGAAGAGAGGTTTATTTTGACTGAGGGTTTTGGGAGATTCAGTCCCTGTGCTGTTGGCTCCAATGTAGAAATGGTATGGTGGAAGGGCATGGTGGAAGAAAGCTGCTCACCCTAGGGCAGCCAGGAAGCAGAGATAGAAGGGAGGAAACAGTGACAAGAATATACCCTTCCAGCTCAAGGACCCAGGGACCCACTCCCTCTTACCAGGCCCCACCTCTGAAGGGGAGACTTCTAGGAGATATTTTAGACCTAAACCATTAGAGAGTTCATTACTAAGCGATGCTTTTCCAGCACTTCTCAATCAGAAATTACAAAATAAAAGAGATTAAATTCATAATGTAAACCATTTTTTAATACATATATGTTACTTTTTTGGGCCATGCAAGTAAAGAAAGGTATACTTTAAATCTGAATTACTGGTATACACACAAAAAAAAATAGGTTTAGGATTATATGTAATCAGCATTATAAGAAGAGAGAATAAAGAATACAGATTCTCAGGGCCGGGGATTTAGCTCAGTGGTTCTGTAGCCTGCCTCACAAGCGCAGGGTCCCAAGTTCGATCCCCAGTACCAAAAAAAAAAAAGAAAAGAAGAATATAGATTCTCATTCTAGGTCTCATTATTAAAATAATAATACTGAAAGCCAACAGTGTTATATACTTTGAGACATTTCATTTGCAAAAAGAAATAAAGCATAATCTATATGTGGCTTCAATGTCCCTTGCCACTCAGGCATCATGTAGGCATATCAAATTTTTTTAAATGGTCTATAAAATGACTTTTTACTACAATTTTGAAAAGCAAATGAAATTTATTATTTCTAATCTACATTCTCTCAAAATTTCTGGCCACTTATTTTTAAATAGCAAGTAGTATTTCTTCATTTTTCCTATGAGAAGAAAAAATTCTAAAATGACTAAAATGGTTAAATACAACAAATGAAAGAGAATGAAAAGAGAAGAGATATTTCCTACAATATTTCAACCATAAGAATATTCATTAGAATAATGTATAGTGTAATCACATACAATCATTTACATCATCTCAACTGAAAGTGAGAAATAATTGGGTCAGAAATACTATTTTGTAAAAAAGGATATGTGTGTCACAAACATATGGAGCTTGGGGAAATTACTGACAGTCATTTATTTTCAAACCCTCACTCATTCCAAAGCACTGAACGTGGACAAAGGAATAAAAACATAAGGCTCAGTTTTAACTGCAAAGTCTAAGTAGGGGAAAAAAGAAATGGAAAAGATTGCAAATGGACCTTGCTCCTTCACAACACTGAGATACCCTTCCCTTCATATACACCCAAACTCATGGCCCTAAGAAGAGATTGGCAAGATGGACCCTGCTAAGGTGCAGCACTCCTTTGGGATGGGTCCCCTAGAATCAGGCCAGGACTGCGTGGGCGCAGTGACCTCTGGCCTGGTGGACACAGCACACAAGGCCAGAGCAGGGACCCTACTGGAGTCAGTAACAACGCATCATCCTTTTCCTATTTGCTAAACCTGACCTGAAGAAAAGAAAGTTGTCATTTCCTAAAATGTCTCACTGTCATCTGATGACTATGCACACTCAGACTCGTAGAGCACATACTATCTTGACCCTGATACTCACCCCTTCTCCCTCCTGCCCTCCTGGTCTGTTTCCATTGTGTTAACGTAACAACACCTAGTCTAGCCTAGTTTTCCATTCGAAACAAACCTTGCCAATCAACACATCTCTTCTTAGGCTTGGCATGCTGTTTTTATCCACAAAATTAAAATGACAGCCGGTACAGACTTCTTGCTATTCCCTTCCTCTGTTCAACCACTACCCCTCCCCTACCCCAAATCAAACCCTACTTTGGTAAATACCTCTCAGGTGTCAATTTTGTTTAGATAGATGCCTTAGGTGGTCTAGAATGGTATGCAGACCCTGCATAATTATGAAAATTACCTTCAATTCCGCCGATATCCTGTCATCATCAGACATTTCCTTTTTTCATTCAGTAACAGGGACTATGAAGAATCAATTTTTCCCACTGCCATGGCACACAGTCAAATCTATCCCTCCTTCCATCTTATATGCTCACCCAAAACATGGATTCTCAAAGGGCTTGGATGTTTCAGTGGAACTGTTTATAACTTGAGATCTGACTTTAAATCTCATCTTGATAACAAAGCATTCAAGAGTTCCCTCTTTGTCTGTCTTCCCAATGGAAATTGCAGTCCAAATCCCTGCAGCCCTTAAAGTATATATACCAGGCTCCATCAAAACGCATTTCATGTTTCCATTGTTGCTATATATTGTCAAGAATTCATCTGCTTCCTAGTGTATTTTCCTCCATTCCTAAAAGTATAAACATACATCTTTGAACCCATCAGAGATAATAAACACACAAAAGAGGGAAAGAGCACAATAGATGGAAAAAAATCACCAATTATCTTTTCCTATCTCTGATGATTATCCCTCTCCTTACTAGGAGTATCTGGCTGCTTAATTTTATTGCTTCTATCCTTGTACGAACAGGTACATTTTGTCAAGTGAATATTGTCTGTTTTGCATGTTCAAAACTGTAAGCAATTATATGACAAGATGTTTATTCTAGGATACACTGATTTTTTTTCTCAAAATGTATAATCATGATGAATCCTCTCTTAGTTACTTGGTCATTACAGTGTAATTTGCATAAGTCAGTCTCAAACCAGAAACCTGAAAAGAAAGAAAAATCATAAAAATATCTTCTGTCTGTCTTCTAATCATCACTCACAAGTCATGCCTTCTACAGCCAGAGCACCCAATCACAGAATACACCCAAATGACGAAGGAAAGTTGAGCCCTAAACTCCAATTATCTTTTACCAGATTCACCACAACACTTTCCTTTAGAAAATGAAGCTGACTTAGGGTAAACATGTGTCAAAGGAGAGAAGGTATTAAAGAAACCAGACAATGCCATTCTCACCCCACTCCCACTGCCCCACCCACTTTCAATTCCTGATTTAAAATTGATAATCTATGATCACATACAACTCTCCTACATACCCAGTAAATGATAATAGCTCCCAGGCACGGTGGTTTATGCCTGTTCTCTCTTTTAACCATCTGTTCTCTCTTTCAACACTTCACAAAACCCTAACAAGTAACCTTTCCTTTAACATTCCCATTATACAGCTGAGAAAACTGAGGTCCTAAAAAGAAAGCAATCCCAAAGAACTGTGTCAGTCAACAGTTATTTTGCATAGGCCATACTAATTTTTTGCAAATATTCTAAGCTACTGGAAACCATAAAGACTATCTGGTTTTAGAATTCCTAAGACATTTGACTTAAAAAATTTAGAATGCATACCTGTTTTTTCCTTGAATTTGCTTTGGGAAACAGCCCTGCTGACAACATTGACGTAAATGGAGAACAGCATAGCTCAGGAAAAGGGTTTGGAATAGATGGCATTTCCAGAACATCAAGATCTTTCTTTTTTCTCCTACACCAAGGGAACATAGGATGCAATTTACATAAAACAGCATGTAAAATATAATTGCTGTCAGGATTAAATAGCGGTGTTAAGGCAAACACACACTACTCAGTAACAATGCTGATATTATAAAAAGTATAAAGCAAGGGGCTATGGTGTACTTTCTGCGGATCAAAATAAAATGTTAACTGATACCAATAAATCTATAACATTTCTATCTTCATTTCTTCTTCTTTTTTAACCTTTAAAAGAATCAGCAGGCATGGACACTCCATTTCCTGAACTTTTGATAATTTTCCTGAAGCAGCGATGTGAACTATTATAATTATTAGTTCAAAAATTATCCTAAGGATTTACACATTATTATGCACCCATTAAAGTGACAAAGTCTTAGAGTTACATTTTAGTGATTTCATCCCTATGGTATTTTACTAATCACTTTTGGAAGTTATGATTTATTAATTATAGCTGTGGTTCATCTCACTTCAGATTTCATTCACAATGTTGCCCACACACAGTCTGTTGATTTTCCAAGTGCTTATAGATACTAAACAGCAAGGCAGTGTTTTTAAGGAGGTAAGTTAATAGAACTTGCTAGTATAAATGTACTCTAGTCCACTGGAGAGTAATTTTAACTTCGCTAAAGTAGGAGCACTGAAAATCTGAAGAAAAAACAAGTACTATTTAAACGTATGAATATAAAGGACCACCGATTTTTGTACTATTGTAGTCTTTTTTTCTTTCCTGAAGTAGGTGCAACTCTAAAGGCACTTAGTGCTGAATGCTAAGGAGATTGAGAAACCTTTTAAAGCCTCTATTCCTTCCTGCTGAACACTGAAGACTGCTCAAATGTCAATCCAAGCTCTGCCTCTCCAGGGTCGCTGTAAGGCTATGTGGGTGGTGAACTCATCTACGCTTCGATTTTTTAAATCTATCAAACAAAAACGACTGTTTATTTTTCCAACAATGCAGGGCCAGTAAGAAGCAGCAGAGGGTGGTGAATACGGAGTTTGGCCTCCTAGTTCACACCGATGGACAGAGGCGAGAGGGGTAGAGCTCTCAATGAAGGGGTGATGCTATTTATAATAAGGCGTTGCGAGATCGCAATGTCCTGCGCCCTGGAGGAGCCAGCTCAAAGGGAATTGTCTTCGGAGACTTTCACAAACTTGGCCGGGTCCGGGCGGCCGGCTCACCCCTAGTCCGCCCCTGGCCCCGCGCCCCGCGGTCCTACCTGTGCGCAGCGCCGGCGCGGGGCGCGTCCGGAGCGGGCAGCCCGGGGGCCGGCGGCGGGTCTTGGGCGTCGCCCCTCCCCAGGGCAGCGGCGCGCACCTGGGCGGCTGGCGGCGGGTCCCTGGCAGCCGCCCTGCCCGCGGCGCTCTGCCCATCGTGCAGGGAAGTGGTCATGGTCGCCCTGCGAGGATCTCGGGCGTCATGGGCAGGCCGGCGAGAGGGAAGAAGGAGCCCGGGCGGCCTGAGCGAGGTGCCGGCTCGGCAGTCGGAGCACGGTGCTGCAGGTGCGGTGGCCTCGCCGCCCGCGCTCCCCGCCCCGGCTCAGTCGCGCGGCCCAGCAGTGTGCGAGGCGACGGGGGAGGGGAGGGAGGCGGGGCGGGCGGCGGAGCCCGGGGTGGGGGGAGGAGGGGCGGGGCGGGGAGGCGCGCGGCCCCGGGCGCTCCCGGGCGCTGTCGTCGCTCCCTGCTGCCGGCCCTGGGCCCCGGCTGCCAAGCCCTAGGTGGGTGCTCGATCCAGGCTGAGCCCCAGGTCCCGCGGCCCGCGCGCCGCCGGAGACCAGACGTAGCCGTAGCCGAGCCGCTCTCCCGCCCGGCGCCTTGAAGGTGGGCCGCCGGCAGGCAGCGCAGTTGGCAGCGCCGACCCGTGCCCCTCCAGTTCCTCCGTCCAGGGCTCTGGGCGCAAGTGACCCGGAGCCGGGCCGCCATGACAGGCCCCTCCGCGCCCGGACGCGCGAGCGAGGGGCTAGACTGGCCCCGGCCCTTCCCCTTCCCCGCGCCCCTCGGCTTCCCCTCGGCCGAGGATGGGGCGGCGGGCCGGGAGGGAGCGGGCGGTGTCGCTGTACACACTACTGGCATCTGGAGACTTCTCAGAGGTAAAACGTGAGGAAACGTGAAAGTGTCTAGAATTAGAAAGATTATTAATTTTCCTTTAATGAGCGCAACTTCCAGTTAATGACTCCCCGCTCTGTCTTTGTCATGGCCCACCCTCCCAACAGCGCCGTAAATTAAAGGTTTTCCTCATTTTACACATAAGGGAATTGAGGCCCAGAGCCAGGAAGTAAGTACCTTGCACAACTGTGCTAGTCACTAGTGCAGTCAGGCTTCCAACCCAGAGCCTCCTTCTCCAGAGCCCAGGCTTTTGAAACTGTAACTTTGTGCTCATCCTCTGAGATGTCGCAAGCCTACTCTGAGACCGTGGGAGATGCTCTGGGTCTACTCTTCCAGAAAGTGTTCCTGTCCCGGACACTGCTGAGGATTTCCACGTGTTTCACACACTCTTTGCTCTTTGACCAAATTAGGTAACATCTGTCCCTGGCATTTGTTTCATCAGGTTTTCTGAACCTCCACAACCTCTGCCCGGGGAAAGGTAAACCCTGACTCCCGAAAAAGCTGGCCACCTGCTCCCCAGTCAGCGCATCCTCCCCAAACAGGACACCACACCAACCTCTGGTGACCTCCAGGGGGCGCTAAGTTCATGAAGGAAACTTGGGGCACTCCTTGAAGGAACCAAACCATGTACTCAGAGTTTGAGGAATCCAAGTCTTCACTTCCTAATGTTAAAATTAAGGCCGAGGAGAGGGTAGGAGTTACCTGGGTCACGTGGAAGTTGTGGTCTCCGAGATGCTTTTTACGATGCAATGGCCAACCCAGGAACAAAACAGTTGGTCTCTTGAGAGATAAAATTAATATTGCTTATCATGGTGGTAGCTAACATTTATTGAGGATGCGTGCCAGGAAAATTATGATCTGAATTCTGTGTGGGTTTGGAATGAGTTTACCATAAAAGCAATCATATATTGAGGTCATTGCAGCAAAATAAAAATGAAGTATGTGTTTGCAGATAACTTGAAGAAACAAGGAAAGAATAAACTTTGGTCATTATCATTAGCTTGGCTTTATCCAAAACTCTTTTGCAGCTATTTCTCATTAGAATGATAGCTTGAGAATTCTAACAGCAGAGTTAATGGCTGAAGTATGTTCCCTCCCACGCCCAGCAACTCTTTCATAAACCACAGAGAGAGACAGAAAGAGAGGGAGAGAGGGAGAGCAGGCGCTCATTTTCTTGTTGGAGAAAAGAATACGTGGAGACTGCATATCTCTTTGGAATCGCCGGAAATACAATGTCCCAACCATGTATCCTGCTACACTTGGCGGCATAATTTCTTAAGCTGAAGAAAGAATACGCACTAATTGGAAAGAGATCTCAATTGTCTTTCCCCTCTCCAGGTATTCTCCTATTTAGTGAATATCCAGAGAGGATCCATTTGCAGACTTTAAACTCCTTCCCTAACCCCCATGTGTAGAAATTATAATGAATGCCTGGTGTGACAAAGGACAAAAACACCAAATGTCTCAGATAAATGAGAGTCTAGTTGTCTTGTACATTGGCATTAAACATTGAATTTACTCCTTGAGAAATTGTATCAAGAATTATTAGAATTAGGTCATTCACATTTTTTGAAGCAAACTAACAAATTCATTTTCATGTCCAAGAGGCTAACATGAAATGATTCTAAATAGAAGACTGTGCAGTATAAAAGGTACAGGATACTGTCAGGCCTACACAGGAAATTACTGAGAAATTATTACGGTAACCATAATAACCTGACCAAGATGTCTGCAACATTAAGCAGAAACATTGTACCAAAGAGCAATACCACTCCCCTGGGTGGCTCTCTTCCCTTTGGACTTGAGCCTGTAAAATTACAAAGGAAGCAGTTTGTTTCCTGGCCCTTCCCCCATGGTGGGTCTTTTCTGTCCCTTTGCATCTCCCTGTCCTGCCTTTCCCCAGAAACCACAGCCATTTAACCCCAAGGAACATGCGCATGTCTTCCTTAACCCCCCTTTCCTCTCAGCAAATCAATAACCCTCTATATAGTAAAAGGCAACACACATACAAAAAAGTTCACAGACAAAAAAACATGATGACTTACCACAGTGAAAACAGCCAGGTCATATCATGAAATGGATTATGGTCAGCTCTCTAGATGCCCCTCTAAATCAGGTTTTTATAGTAATTAAATCCTTCTTTACATTCATAGTCTATAAGTATCTATTCCTGAACACAACAGATTTTGTACACTTATCTTGTTGCACTTGTGCACGCATTTCTGGAAGGTACACATGTAGGAGTGGCATGTGCAGTCATAGTATGTGTACACTCCGCTTTAGTACATACTTCAAGTTTCCCAAGTTGACTTACCAATTTTCATCACCACCAGCAATTCATAAGCTTCCTGCAGTCTTCCCCCATCTGCCCCAAAGATGGTTACCAGAGCGTCAGTCCACTGAACCCTTCTCAATTTAGAAAAGACAAATGTCAGAGCTTCCTGGCCCATCCTGAGTTTGCCTTCTACAACAATACATCATTTGGCCTCAGTGAGGCTGAGCAGAGAATGCTGGACCTTCCAGGATATTTTGGGTCAAATGAAGAGGATGAAACCACAAGTACACTTAGTGTGGAGAAGCTGGTAATCTAGATCAAGAATCTCCCTGAGATTTTTTTCATGATTGGGGTCTCTTGCCTGTGTTGTGATATCAACTGTTCACATTGTTCTGTGGACTGTGTTGTATAACTGTACAGACTCTTGTAGGACAGAATGTAGGGAGAAAGTAGCTCACATAGAGAATATGTTTGTATACACACATGTTTCAATTCATAAGGAAGAAATTATCCTGAATTTTCCTTTTGTTATCCTATGTCCATTATTGTTACTAATAACAATAATAAAATGTAAATAAAAGCAAACAAAATTCATAACCTTCCCGGTTCTTTACATCCTTGACACTTAGCATAGCATTAGAATTTTCAGAGCAGATATTCTGGTGACTGCATAGCATAATCTCATTGTGGAATTTGACTTTTTCATAACTAAAATTGTGTACTTTTTCTTGGGATTATTTGTCATTTGGACATCCTCTTTTTATAAGTAGCAGTTCAAATCTTTTGCCCATTTTTATGATTATCCTTTTAAAATTCATTTAGAGTTCTTTTTTATATTCTAGTTACTAGCTCTTTGTTGGTTATGTCTTCTAAATATCTTCTCCCATTCTGGCCTTATTGTAAATGGTATCTTCTGATAATAAGTTTTTAAATAAAATATAGCCAAATTTATCGGGGGGTGTTTTGTTTGGTTTGGTTTGGTTTGATACTGGGATCAAACTCAAGACGTTGCAGCCAGCGGCACCACTGAGCTAAATCCCAGCCCCTCTATTCTAATTAGAAATTTTCCCTGTATATTCTAGAAACTTATTGTTTTTCCTTTAACACTTAAATGTGATCCATCTGAGATTCATTTTTTTATGATTCAAAGGTATGAAAGAGTAGAAGTTGCTTTTTTTCCATATAAACAGGTAATGCCTCATCCACTAAAAATACCATCCTTCCCTTACAACTTTGCAAGTGCCTCCTTTGTCAAATTCAATTATTCATCTATACATAGGTCTGTTCTGAGCTCTTTCTATTAATTTATCAATATTTATGCCAATATCACATTGATCTAATTGCTATGATTTATAACAAGCCTTAATATTGAGTAGAGAAAAATTTTCATCCTGTTGTAGATTGTCTTAATTTTAAAATTAGCTTCTATATTTTTACAAGGACTTGCTGAGGTTTTGACTGCATTGTATTGTAAATTACTTTAGGGAGAGATAATATTTTTTGTTAAAGTCTCAACACAAGTAATTGTCATTTCCTTCTATTTGCTTGAGTCTTTAATTTCTGGCAGTAATGCTTTATGATTCTCTATGTAGATAACTTGCGTATTTATTTTAAGCCATGTACTTAGGTACATGATAGTTGAACACTGTTTTGGATAATTTTTTAAAAATTTGATTGTCTATCATTTCTTATAATAAGGAAATCAATTGATTTCTGTATATCTTTATTCACATAGGTGCTTTTCTATATTAACTCTAAAAATTTACCTATAAATATTTTAAAGTTTTTTATATATGCAACCATATTATCTGAATAATGGCAGTTTTATTTATCTTTCCTATTCTTGCTTACACTATTATATCTTTTTCTGGTCTTACTACACTGCCTAAAATTGGAGAAAAATTTTACATGTAAGTGTCAATACCACATATTCTGGTTTTATTCTTGAATTCTAAAGGATAGATACTAAATATAGTATTATCATACAGTTATCATACTCTTCATCAGATAAGGAAGGTGGCTGTCCTTATTTTTCTTATTTGCTAAGAATTTTAATATCAAATATAGTTGAACTAGTTTTCTGCCTCTGCCAAGTTGATTATATAGTTGTTCTCCTTCATTCTTTAAAAGTAAAGAATTATGTTGATTTTTAAATGGTAAATTGAGTTTATATTTATAAATATTA